TCCCATTAGCATTCCCTCGGGTATACTTTTCCATAATCACTCACTCATGACCAGTGTTGCGAATGACAAAGCGAATGTTGTTCTTCCGGGCGAAGTTGACGGCGGCAATCACATCGTTGCTGGAGGAGACATTGACGGCGTAATTGACGTAGTTGCCCAGGAGACACGGCTTGGACTCTGCGGTGAAGGGGTCACAGCTCTGGTTGGCAAAGTAGGTCTGCATGATGGACGAGGAGGATTCAATGCTGCACACATGAGGGTCAGCTTCCTTCTTGCGACAGCGCAGGACAGGTCGAGCGCGGTTCCACATACTGAGTCTGGGGAAGATTCCAGGCATTCTGCAAAGCCGCACAGGCGGTCGCATCGTAGGTGGGATCATGGCAGGGCGATCCGATGGGTACGGTAGCGACCAGACGGCCACCAACAGTGGAGTTGAGCGCGGCCCAAGAGGAAGGAGAGGGCCAGCAACTGTCACCGGGCAAGCAACGGCACTGGGAGCATTCAGAGCGCTTCGCGGAGGCGAGCGCGACCAAAATGGACAACGCCCATGAGGTCTTCATGGTGTCGCGACGGAAGTGTGGGGAAAGGGAGGAGGAGAGGAGCGGGATCTAGGGCAGGTATATAGGTTAGGCGGATAGGAAGAATCTCACGATCGTCGGTTGATCATGCCGATCCTGAGCTTGCTAGATATTTATACCAGATGGTGGAGAGATGGAGGAGAACGAGATAATAAGGGAGATAATCTCCAGGCTACCTCGGCGTTCTTCCGCAAAGAAAGGTTGATGCTTTATGGGACGATGGCGTGAGCTATTTGATCGGGCGTATCTATCCGTCGGAGTCTTCATGATTATTTCTGAATCGTTGTTATCTGGTACCTGGCAAACATCCTGGTGCATGCGCGGCGATGTTTCCCAGAGAAGCCCTGGATGGCCGAATTGGGTAATACAACCGAGTCCAGCACGGGCAGTGGTGGGGGGAGGATCGATAGTCATCGGACTCAGATACACTTTCAGATATGCCCATCTCGAGCTGGTTCTTGGCTTGAAATCGTGTCTACAGAACCCGGAAAAGAATCATGAAGCATTGCCATGAATTATGGATCTCGTATCTCCTCGACAGTTCATATGCTCGGTGATCCCCCGAAGTGGGCTTTTGTTGACCACATGGCAGTGACTGAACTATGGAGTCCCACGTGTGTTCTCATTCTTCTGGACTAGACAGATTTCATGCATCTAGAAGCGGGCTTTCGCTAGGCATGCCCCTGACTGGCATCCTGCATACGTCTTCCCTGTCAGCTCTGAATGCAAGGCTATGCACCGCCACTAGCGGCCAAATGGGGGAATCCGGAAAGCCCACATGAAGGCTGGAAGGTAGAAGCCATGGAAGAAAGGCATTACTCAGTGAGTGGGACATGGTCGGCGTATTTCTACGTTGCCAGCTATCCATGGTACAAAGTACAACATTAGAAAGCTCTCCTGGTTGAACGAGGTTGAGATGGGTTCAATTTGTATTATTATTATCAGAGAAATGGTGCAAGAGGCAATGTAGGCAATGTCAGGTTCAGTAGACTGACTGCACTTTTGACTATGTGTCGTCCTTAATTTATTTTTTTGATTAACGGGATTTTATGTGGAGTCTACCTGGGCAAGCTTATTCAGCAGAGAGACAAAAGACATTATTGCAGTCAGCCTCGATCTTTTGGTCTTCACACACAGTTAGAATTGTATTGCTCAAGGCTGGCCACACATAAGACACCTCCTCTTAATAATAAAATCGGCAATACTTCGGATCAGTCCCACTGTTTTACGGAGCCTGCTCCATAAGGACGTCGAAAAAATGAGTATCTCCGGTCAGGGACTCAGGTACGGCTATTCCGGACGCAATAATGGCGCTGGCGTCTCTCTGCCAATTTCTCCAATGGTACTAGTAATAAATAATAGCATTAAAAGGGAAACTTTCTTCGGTAGAGTTTCGTATAAAAGCGAATGTCTCACTGAATCAGCCACCGCCACGCTGCCAGCAAGCTGTTTATGCAATGATATGTTCTCATTATATTACTCTTAGTGAAGATTATCCAGAGAAAATCCTCCGTGGGATATCATTTATGGAACTGGCTGTATCTCACGAGATCTGCACGCATTCCTGGCAATCGCAGTGGTTACTGGGTAGGATTCGGAGCAAAAACGGAATGACTCGAGTCATAGCAGTGGAGAACGGCCCACCAAGTCCCAAATTCTAGAAGAATATAACCACCAATGGCAAACAGATATGCCGGCATTGTCTCAACTCCCATTCTGTTTCTCGCCAATCGGGGTGTCTCTGCTGCCCGTTAAAGTTTTGTCCGTTGTATCTAGTCCGAGTCTAGTATACCCTCATCTCCTCGCTTGCATATCTCGGCATCTGCTTTCTAACGGCCGGTGCTTCCAGCTCGGCAAAGACAAATCAGAGTCGGGAGTCAGGCGAAATTATGAATGGATAGCTTCCATCTCCATTCATAATTGAGGTCTGGTCGTACTCCACACTGATGGCCACCTCCTCTTCTCTTACCTCCGGACCGACCAAATCAGAATCTTGACCAATCTATGACCGATAGAAATATTGAAAGGAATCAATTGTCCGCTCTGGCCCCTCACACAATGGGCCCCAAGTCCTGCCAAATGTAGAAAATAGCTTGTTCAGAACCCTATCCGCGGGTCGGGATCCGATCTATTGCCGGCCATAACCTTGGAAACCGTCGGCGGATCCCCTTTACCTCTCGCTAGATCCCATTGACTGGGCGGATGGATATTTTTGCTCTGTCCATGAATAGTTGTCCTGTCCCGTGGCCATGCTGCAAAGTCTAAATCGCCAGAGCATTGAGCTTTCGGGTGCCTGGAAGACACTTGGCAGCTCTTGCGACTACCTGTTCCTGAGAGCTGAAGAATATTCGGTGCCATTATTATTAAGCGATGTTTACCCAGTGTCGCAATCTCTTCAGTCGTTGCGCTCTACCATAATGCCTCACAGACCATGATCTGATCGACCGTGTTGTTCTCTTTCTGATCTCGTCTTCACCAGAGATACACCCCCCACAGAGTGCAAAGGGTCGGTCGACGTCCGCAATGGCCCAGGACTCACAGACCACAGCTGATCTCGGCCCGGCCCTCATAAGGGGCATCTGGGCCGCAATGATCATCGCAGTGATTATCGTCTTCTTGCGAGTCTTTGCAAAGATCAAAATTCGCCAGTTTCGTGTCGACGATGTGTTGATGATCGTTGCACTGGTATGTTCAGCCATCCAGCTGATACTATTGCATTGCTGACGTTGGTCGCATTAGATCCTGGCTGTCATTTCCACCGTCTTCCTGACGCTGTGCGTGCAACATGGCTTTGGCAAAAATCTGTTAATCCTCGAAGCGGAACAACCACATGAAGTCGAACTCGTCCTGAAGTACATCGCCATCCAAGTGCCGATTGTGACCATCAGCACCACCATCGCCCGCTGCTCCTTCATCCTCTACCTCCTGGCCATTCTCGGAAACAACAAAAAGTACCTGATCGCGTTATGGGCGGTGATGCTGCTCCAGTTCGCCGGCAATGTTGTCTCGGCCGTGCTGCCATTGAGCATTTGTCGCAATATGCGCATTCTCTGGGACCCCACGACGAAGACCACCTGTGGTGACGTCCAAGCCGTCATCAAGTTTGCCTACTATTCTAACAGTCGGTCTCCGTCCCTGTGTCCATGAATCTATACTGACTTGTATCAGCCGCAAACTCGGCCTGTGACCTTTTTCTGGCCGTGTTTCCCACCCTCATCTTCTGGAATCTGAACTTGAAGATGCGCATCAAGATCAGTTTGATCACCCTCCTCAGTCTGGGCCTTGTGTATGTTTCATGCCCTCATTTACCGATCAGGATACTCATTCTTACAGGGCCATGGTCGCCTCCATCATCAAAACCACTAAACTGAAGGATGTCCCAAGCGTCACCAATCTCGGCGACACCGGCGGCGTCGAGCTCATCCGCTGGGGCTATGTCGAGAACGCAATCATCATCATCACCTCCTCCGTCCCCTGTATTCGTCCCCTGATCATCTCCTCCGTCCGCAAGTTCTCCAGCCGCGGCTACTCGCGCTCTTACGAGCTCACCGGGCCTGCGACGGGTCAGCGTCGCACGGGACACGATGAGACGGCGCAGTCCCGTCGCACGCGTCGCTTCACCAAGAATGCCACCCTGGATACCGGCAGCATTGAGCGGATCCTGGATCCCGTCAGCAATACGAATACGACCGTCAGTGGTCGGCGGGATTCACCGACTCATCTCGACCACGGTATTACGAAACAGGTGGAAATTTCGGTGATTTCGAATGATCAGTTAGATAGGCATCATCCTTGATCGATTAGTTTCCTACTTCTTGATCTGCTTGGTCATGCCATACACGGTTTTCATTTGATTAGAGCTTTCTTGTACATATATTCCAGGAAACATAAACGATGCCTGGCTATGGTATTAATCGTAAATTAATGAGGAATAATGTGCATGACATGCGTTCATTTGTGACAGAATATTGATAGCTCAATATAAATCAATAAACCAGTCAGATGTTGATCATTGCAGGTCGCTTATATATTTTCTGTTTATATATCTGCAGGGATGGGACGCCTCCGAACTATATTTGAGCATGGGTACAGGGGACAAATACCCCAGACATATCAACTACATACTTATGCTACTCATAGCTAACCTTCAGTCATCCTCATTCTCCACAGCTAAGCCTCAAATCGAGCCGACAACAAGCCACAGTGATGATCAAGGATACCCGCCGGGCAAACTCCGGTAATCATTCCACGGCCATGAGCATATCCTCCAGGAACAGTCACCCCACACTTCTGTTGCATTGTGCCGGTGTATGTATCCCGGAAGGGATCCGGGTCGCGGGGTTGAAGAATAGTAGCTATAAACACAAATCACTGCATTTTATGTCCCTAGAAGGCATTCTAATTCCTGCAGTGACCCTCACGATGTATCACCACAATGCATTCGGCCTCACTCTGGCCAGCCTCCTATTGCTCAACCCTCAGTCTACAGCCGCGGGCGAACCAACTCCAGGTCAAACTCCGCAAATGGGCTGGAATTCATGGAACACCTTCAAGTCCAACATCAATGCTTCAGTAGTCGAGACCACCGTCCAGCTATTCCAGTCTCTCGGCCTCAAAGATGCCGGCTACGACTACATCCTCCTGGACGAGGGATGGTCGGATTACTCGCGCACCGCGGACGGATATCTCCAGCCCAACTTGACCTCCTTCCCCAATGGCATAAAGTCGCTTATAGACGACATCCATGCCAAGGGTCTGAAGGTTGGCCTCTACGGTGACAGTGGAATCTCAACCTGCGGCTTCCGACCAGGGAGCTGGGGCTATGAGGAGCGTGATGCGCAGACGCTCGCTAGCTGGGGCGTGGATTACTGGAAGTATGACAACTGCGGCGGATTCCAGGCCATGACGGAGCCGCCGCAGGCGCGCTTTGGGGTCATGCAAAAGGCGCTGGAACTCTCTGGCCGAGAGATCTTCTATTCGGTGTGTGAATGGGGGTATCAGTTTCCGTGGCATTGGGGAGGGAGTATGTTTCTCAACCATCCGGCTAGAGATAGAGAACGAAGTGCTAATTGAATCGCAGACATCGGACATTCTTATCGCATGTCGGGCGACATCACTGCCAAATTTACCAACGAGACCGACTGCGCGTGCAAGACGGCCTACTGCCTCAACACCGGGTATGCGGGCTGTTCAGTGCTGACCATCATCCGCAAGATGCGCGAGATCAGTCAGTACCAGACACCGGGGCATTGGCTGGACATGGATATGCTGGAGATCGGCAACGGCGATATGACGCTGTACCAGCAGCAAACCCATTTTGCGTTTTGGGCGGCGCTCAAGTCTCCTTTGATTATTGGGGCGGATTTGTCGAAGCTGTCGAACGAAAGCCTGGCTATCCTTAAAAATAGGGACATTATCGCGCTTAACCAGGACTCAAAGGGCCAGTCGGTCCGTTACGTCCAGACTGCCAGCGAAGAGGGATCATGGCAGGTATGGGCTGGTCAAGTGCAAGGCGGATCCGTGGTTCTTCTGTTGAATGAGAAGAGCTATCCCCAGGATCTGTCGATTTCGTTCGCCGATCTGGGACTGGGAATTAACGGTTCCGTCAAGGCTACGGAACTGTGGTCTCACAAGTCTTTGGGGAAGGTGAACTCTTACAAGGGCGTGCTGCAGGCTTATCAAACGCTGGTGTTTCGACTACAAGTTTAGTATTTTCGAACAATTTAATGCGGGTGTTCTAATCCTATCCACATGAGGAACAGGGGATTAGTAGTCAGCCCCGCTGTGGATTGTATCCTAGCAGTTCTAATAACTGGCGATGGCAGCAATCCGCTATATGTCGGCACATTTAGTATAAGTCGCATCTCAGACAACGGTAGCATAATACAAGAATCATCTTATAAAAGTCCGCGCCGAGACTCAGAGATACTCAATAAGCAAGTCAATTCAAGTAGCTACCTATATTCTTATTCCAGTCCAAGTTTCTATCAACAGTATGGAAGATTCGGGTTCGAGCAACTGCCAGGAATAAAGGCCTGCGAGATTCGAGGCAGATCGCCCTCAAATATCTGAGCCGAGGGGTCAAGGATATGATCGATAATGTGTACGAGGCCCTGAAGAGCATTAGCGACGTCTTCCTGGGCAGATGTCCACCCTACCTGCGTAATTGCAATATCCTTTTCTACCACAGTAGCAACTTTGTTTAGGAGAAGATTCCCGTCCTGAATCTCAGCTCCGACATATAGATAAGTCGCAGTCTACCGTTTCTGTCAGCCAATTCATTTGCGCTTGATCGAGACTGCTGAATCACCTGGAATTGTTGAGAAGTTCCATTGAAATTGGAGGACTTCAAGTTTGTGTTGGGAACATAGTGATGCAGGATGGTATTCCCTAGCCACCATTTACCTTTTCTATGAAGAGTCAGTGACCAGCACATTGACTGTCGCGGTGACCATACGGAGTAGACTCGAACGTGGTGAAGTATCTGCCCACATTCTTCTCAAAGGCATCGTTATTCGGGGCAAAGAAAGTAAATTTCCAGGTGGGATCCGTGTCGAAGGCTTCCGAGAAGCCGCCAACTTTGTCTAGGGCTTCTGAAAGTCTACTCAAATCAGAGCGGGATTTGATGAATTCCAGCAGTGTCGTCGTGTTGGAGGATTTCGGAGCGACGTAGGAGGGATTGATATTCCGGTAATTGAGGGGATCTTGAGTAGCAGCGAGGACACAGCTGCATACTGTCAAGCAGGTCACCAGGAGGGTAGATATTAGCTTCATCTTGGTCAGGTTGCAAGAAAGACCGAATGACCATACAAGGTGAATCACTATATAGTTCTTAGAAAGGACCCACACGCATATTTCTCAATAACACAATCTCCGCCAGTATAGTGATACGCAGGACCAATACTCAATAATGCGGGACATCAATGCGGGCATCTGGGGAATTGAGTCACTAAAGCGCTCGGCGTAGGTGCCGGCCTTGCCCCGACGGTTGTGAAGAACAAACAGAGAACAAGCTCGACTGGAATAAACTCTAGACTGAGCAACGGTTTACTGGAGAATGCGGGGCCCCAAAAGTGAAAACACCCTGTCCCGTAATTCTTCCGATACCAGGAAGAATATTGCATTGCTCCACAACTACAGGCCATGGAAGAATTAAAAAAATGAGTATAAATACTCTAACAAACCTTGTCAGTGTCAGAGATGTTCACAGGCCTCAAAGCCATCGGACGATAAGCCATCTCCTGCGACATGTTGAAGGTATTCCTAAGCATCCTCGCCCTGGCAGGCGTCTGCCACTCCGTAGTGGTGGACGTCCCCAGCGTGTACGGCCCCATTCCTCATGTCGGCGACTTCTCCGGCGTTGATTCGACCAAATACCTCAAGAGACGCCCTGGAGACTTTGTCCACCCCGGTATATGGCACACTCACGAGGACCTGGAGCGCATCCGGACCAAAGTCCTGTCCAAGCAAGATCCTTGGGCGTCGGCCTACGAGAAATTCAGCGCCGATCAATACTCCCAGGCCAGCTACCAGATGCAGGGGCCGCACGCGGTTCTCTCGCGCGGGAGCATCAGCAACTACACCTCGTTCGCGCATGACGTTCGCGCGGCATGGCAGAATGCGCTGATGTGGTACATCACCCGCAACCAGTCACACTGGGATCGGAGCACCACCATTCTAGACGCTTGGGGAAGCAACCTGACCGACATCATCGGGACCGACCGCTCGCTGATGATCGGTCTCGACGGGGACTTGTTCGTCAATGCAGCGGAGATCATGCGCTGGGAGGGCAATTGGACTGAAACCGGTGCCAGGTGGCAGGGTGGTTCGGGCTTCAGCAACCAGCTGTACTGGCTATTCTCGCGGCAATCGGTCGTTGTGGGACAGGCCAACTACGGGATGGTCAGTATCAAAGCGATGCTCAGTTTCGCAGTCTACCTGAATGATGTCGAACTGTACAACTATGCGATGAATGCCTTTATTCAGGACAACTGCGCTGGTCTGTTTGCGCAATTTCATCCGGAGACAGGTCAATCTGCGGAAGCCGGGCGTGATCAAAGTAGGTAATCTTCTTCTTTCAACTGACTATGCACTGATATACTGCAAGGCCACACCATGTCCGGTATCGGCTGGGCTGCGTACGGCGCACGGGTGGGACAGAGCCAGGGCGTCGATCTATATAGCCTGGGCAACAATCTCTTATTCAAAGCGGCCGAGTACGCAGCCAAGTACAATCTGAACGAAACCGTCGAGTACGATCCCAAGTGGTCCCGGTGCGAGGCGGTCCTAGTCAATGGTCCCTGGGCAACTATCTCCGAGGAGGATCGCGGCGTGACGAACCAGAACCCCATATGGGATATTCTGTACTACCAGTATGTGGCCAAGAGAAAGGAGAAGGCACCATGGACTACCAAGGCCAAGCAATTCGAAGGTTTTGAGGGCGCTGTCTCATCCAACGATCATCCCAGCTGGGGTGATTTGATCTGGGCATACTAGCCTCTGGTGGTTTCGCAGGGTTTTGAAACGAGGTGAAGAAGACCACTACCATATAGAATATGACTATCTCAATGGTTGAAACGTGTGCCAAAGTCAAGTAATAACCCATCCTGATGATTCTTTGCCTTCATAAACGAGACAAGGCTGTATCATTCCGAAGGCAGTTATGTATATGTTTCGCCGCCAAAGGAGAACGGATACTCCGCGAAAGCACGATATGCCGCTCCATTAATCTTCAATAGAGGGAAGATACACGACAGACTAATACTGACTTGTCCGAGAGACAAAAGAATGTCCCAGTCGAGACCCGAAATCCACTGTGTTATCAGTGACCGGCTCTTTTCCCGGATGATCTCCGGATACCATCTGCTGTACGGGGAGGGAAAAGGAGCCAACTGTGGAGCCCGACCATAAGGATTTGCTACTAGAGGTATTTCCCAGTAACGAAGATGCTATATATACGGAGTCCTGCACAGAGGCTTGATTTAGACATGATAAGTGCGGTTGAAATAGCAGACAGCAATGAGACGGTTCACGCTACGGTTCACGCTCTCCCTGCTGGCCATTCAAAGCTGGGTGCCCACCATCCTAGCGATCAGGAATCCCATTATCTCCGGATGGAACCCTGATCCTTCAATTCTCCGCGTAGGGGACGAGTACTTCCTGGCAACCTCGTCGTTCGAGTACTGGCCGAGCACGCCGATCTACAAGTCCAAAGACCTGGCAAACTGGGAGATCTTCTCTCATGCATTCACCAGACCGGAGCAGCTTCAGCTATATGGAACCCCGACGGGTGCAGGTTAGTACATGCTTGTCCTTACATCGTGACGGTCTAATATTGGGTGTATCGGAAGGTGCCTGGGCTCCAACGCTCTCCTACATCAATGGAAAATACTACCTCGCAGCAATGACGCGATGGACATACGACCCGGTTGCTCGAGTTTGGCCGCGAGTGATGTGGGTTTCGTCGCACGACCTCAAGACCTGGTCGAATCCCATCTGGGGTGACCCATGGGGCATCGATCCCGCATTATTCCAGGATCCCGTCTCCCAGAAAGTGTACTTGAACCTGATGGCCCCCAACAACAACAAAGACCGCATTTGGGGAATCTACCAGTGTGAAGTAGACGTCGACAGTGGCCGTTGTATGGGAGAGTATCGCTCCATGTGGAATGGCACGCTCCCGCATAATGCCAGTGCTCGTCCCGAAGGCCCCAAGATGTTCAAGCGGGATCAATGGTACTACCTCCTCATCGCAGAGGGTAAGCATCACCTTGTCTCTGAAGCGCCAGTCGACTCACAGTCCGGTAGGTGGCACGGACGACCTTCACCGTGCCAGTATCGCACGTTCCTTGTCTCCAGAAGGACCATGGGAGCCTGCGCCGCATAATCCGATTCTTTTTAATGGAGCGTACGGCTACGATAACCTCACGGTACAATCCACTGGCCATGCGACCATCTTCGAGGCGGCCAACGGCGACAGTTATGCGGTCTACCTCGCTCGACGTAAGATCAATGGCTCGTCGCCCCTGGGCCGGGAGACCTTCATGTCACCAGTCACCTGGAAGGATGAATGGCCGATAATCAATGGCGGTAATCCAGTCTTACTCAGTGAATCGTTCGGTCCTGCGCCCGATCAGAAACTACCACCGCCATCTTTCGTCGACAGATTTAACCAGGAATCGCTTGATCCCTCATGGTATCAATTGCGGTCTCCATACGCGCCCATCTACGATCTGAAGAAGACGAATACTCGGAAGGATAAGGATTCTCATGGAATTGTCTTCCGGCCGAACGTTTTCGGCCTGAGTGATCGGGACACCCCAGCTGCCATTTTGCGAAAGCAAAAGTCGCTGAATATGACCTTTAGCGCGCAGTTGCTTCCCACAACGTCCGGGCTGGGCTACGGTGAGACAGTTGGGATCAGTGCGTATTTGAGTGAGCTGCAACATCAGGACATCGGAGTGTCAGGCTGTGTCAATAGCACAGGCATGTGCATTTTCACTCAGTTGATAAAGAATGGGACCACGGAGGTATTAACCTTCACTCTGTGACACGAGAGGAAATGTTGCTGACGCGTAACAGTATAATCAGGTCAAGCTGAACTCGTCGTCCATTCCGTCCAGCCTGGCGCTGCATATCCGCGCAGAACCCCTCTCCTACACGTTTGGATACAGCCTTGGGTCAAATGAGACCATCACCTGGCTGGTATC